ATCCTATCCAAGTCTTGCGGGCGTGTATCAGTCGTCCTCTCCTCTATACCAAGATTATACCAAGTATTGGCTTCGCATCTGACACCCGCTCGAATGGTCCATCTCGTAGCAGTCCTTGTCGAACCTGGAGCCCAACTGGATACGTCACTGAAACTTGGGACCTGAGTAGCGGTGGTCGACTGTCCTGCAAGGAGCAGCTGTTTACCCTTCCAGTCATTTTCGGGTCGAGGCCAATTTGCAGACGGTGATGGATCAATGTATGGTTTGACTGTAATTAAACGAGTTTCTTTCGAATATGTAAATGTCGGTAAGGGATGGGACCATGGGTTTGGCCATGGCTGGGTGGGCGGACGATTATGGGCAACAATAAGGGTGTTACCTATATATTGAAGGGGCATATATTACTCAGACTTAGTGTTTCAACGATAAGCTTACCAAGGATATCGACATAGGCCCCGTTTCCACCGCAACACAATTTTCCTTCCACATTCACGAAAAATACCTTGGGAAATGTTCAACGAGAAAGTGTGACAAACGGAGCTGCATTAATTTCGTACCTGTGCGTCTGAGGCGAGGTTCAAGGTCCATAATGCGATTGAGTTACCGTCTTGGTTGGTTTCCCAGAAGCGTGGTGTAATATAATAAGCATTTGGTCCTGCCGTTCGAATACGAAAATATCCAGTGGGAAACCCAGTACACGCGTCAGCCGCCAACGGCATCCCACTAATAACCGCTGAAGTCGGTGTACTTACTGCGCCATCGGAGCGGCAGGGCTCGTAGAGGAGGTAGGGTTGAGAGACGAATCGGTGTTCGCAAGGGAAAGAGAGTTGGGGATCTGCTGGCGCTTCAAGCTTTTTGGGTTGGCACCAGAAATAACGAAACCTACCTGATGATGTCCAAGGCAGATCATCAAATTTGTAATGCCATCGGACGAGCTGGAGAGAAATGTCTAGAATTAGGAGGAAACTAGGCTAAATTTTCACGCACAAGAAGTTTTCCAAATTTTTGAGTGCGTTAGCTGCATTTCCAGAACCTGAAAAATCGTTAATAGTAACATTGAAGTTTGGAGCTATGAAGATCATGAGCATCTGTCCGTTAACTGAAGGCATGAAATGTGCAAACCAGCTTTTGAATTTGGGACAGTGGGGCTCGGCCGAGCTGATTCCGCTACAAGTGAGGCTACTTTTCCATTTTTAACTGCGGCCTGATTCTCGGGTGTGTTTTCTACAATAAAAATCTGGGAATTTTTCCCAGAAGGAGGTCCAACGCTTGCAGAATCTCCAATATTGAGCACTAGGCCCGAATTTGGAACGCCAAGCCTTGGTTCAGTTTGAGAAATGTCAAAAAACCCAGAAGAAAGGAATGCTAACTGGTAAGTGCCTTGATTCTTAGAAATATCCCAATAAAACGGGACTTTGGAGGACACAAGTGATGACGTCCCGGGCGTATCACCTTTCATTGCAACATATGTTTTGTTGTACTTCGACATAAGAGCGACGCCGCCGTTGCCATCGTTATGAACGAGCCACTGGAGGGGAGCAGGTAAGATAAGATATCTTCTGCCGTATTACGATGGTATACCTGCTGATTGATACCGCCATGGAATGGATATGATATGACTGCATACAGATCAATAGCTTATCACGAGAACACGGAAATTCTCTGACCTGATTTTTTATCGGCCATGTCAAAATCAAGAGATTGGCCTTCAGAATTGACAATTATTTGTGGACCATCTGTGAACAGAGGAGTTAAGCTGGGGTCAAAGGATTCGAACCCCATGAGAGGAAGACATACAGAAATTCATGGTGGTGTTGTTGACCTTACTGGAGTTGTCGACGCTGTTGTGAGAGCCAACATCGCCTCCTCTTCCACCACCACGTCCATCACCGCTCCCTAAGAAATGTAAAGATAAAATTAAATAGCCAAAGGTAACAAAAATGTGAACGCACGGATTTCAGAGTGTTCAAAGCCTTGAGCAAATCCGCCAGGAGGTGAATTATCCTTCGCTGCCATTATTATAAGAAGTGTGGTCAGGAAGGTCAATAGAGACAAGGAGGGCGGTAGCTTGCACATTTATAACTTGTCCATATTCATTCTAGAATGCGAATACGATTAATCGATGGTTCGTAATAGAGACCATAGTCAGCTGAGGGTTAGTGACGGCGTAAGTGGAACCGATTTTGCTATCAGATTTCATTTCCACCCGTTTTAATTGAGATCCTCGAATTTGGTAGGTCATAAAAATAAATCTGAGGTGTTTTATGATTAGCGTAATCCACATCGAGGTTACCAAAAAGACTTTGCCCAACTTTTTCTGCCCAAGATATGACTGAAAAGAGGTCCTCAAGTGCCACAGACGCGGATGACGAGCAAGTCGAGATGCATTTGAGGATTAGCAACATACCAATGGGGGGCCGAGAGCATCGGCAGCTTAGCCGTGGTTAATTTCAACACGTGTATCGATAAGGTAAAAACACAACACGGCAACGGAGAGAAGAATCTCCAGGATCCTTGTCGAACCGATCACGATTGGAGATGTTTGGGACATGGCAGCGATATGTAATTTATTAGGTGACAGTGAATATGGTTCCTGAACCTTCTAGGGATAGGCTATAGCATATGAATGAAGGATGGGACGAGAGAAATGAGAAAAGTTTAATACTTAAATTGGAAGGATTCCGGAGTCTGGACTTCTGGTGGACTTGAATCACGTGGAAAGCTAATGACTGTCGACTGGCCAGCAATACCAAGTTCAACCAGATGTATTGATTTTAATGGGAGTATTCCTACAGGTATAGAGATGACATTCAGGCATTATCTATCAGATAGGTATCTACAGATGAATGAATTGCCAATAATAATAAAATAAGCATTCAAACGAGAGGTAAGCTAGGGTAAAAAAATGTTGCAAATGAGCGATCCATAAGAGCAAATGATGGAATGGCTAATCGAAGTCATCGTCATCATATCCCTCAACACTAAATGGATCGTCCTCGTCCACAAAAAGTCCTTCACGGTATCCTCCACTAACAGGCGGCCATTGCACCTGCACTAACCAATTCTTTTTTGAATTTATCGTCTCGAGCTTATACGCCCTGGCAACCTGCACGTACGTTACATCGGTCACAAGGTCTGCAACCTTCCAAGCCTCGTGCATATCATCAAATAGACGAAGGGTGACGCTTTTCTTGGGTCGACCTTGGGCGAACCGCAAGATATCGTCCAATTCATCATCCACATCGATGTTGAACGTCAACACCTCGATCTTGGGCCACAGCGTTTCCCTTTCTTTGTTTTCGGCGGGGGCCATGTAGGCCGAGAAGAAGCTTTCATCGTAATCGCCACTTGAAAATGTCATATCGACGGTATTGGCAGTCATCTTTGCGAACTGACGGGCGGAGGGGGTAAGCGTTGCACAGACATTAATGAAACAGAGATATTTTAAGGATGGAAAGACGTAAGGATTGGAGATGTGGGTATCGCTTCCATGAGGGCAAGTGGCGAAGTTCTCCGGGAATAGCGAGTCCCTGAGCGTGAGGGTCTCAAGTAAGGGCGCACGGATATAAGGTAGGAGAAGAATAAGACAGAGATTGTCGGAGATACGCATATGTTTTAAATTATCCATCAAAATTGGGGTGATGGTGTTGAAGTTGGGGGACTCACAGGCATTGCCTGTGACGGAGAGGTTGACCAACGATGGGAGGGACACAATGTCACGGAATGCAGACCATGAAAGCCGAATATCAATGGACCGGTCTAAATCCTCGATACGAAGGGTGGTGACATTGGACAGAGGGGGGAAGGATGTGATGGCTCCTGTGAGGTCTAGAAGGACAGATTTGAGCTTCGGAGCTCCATTCCGAAAGACCGTCTCGTCCAACGAGTCGATGACCCTAAAAGGTCCAGGGCCTGTGGCACCCATATGAGAACAGAATGCGAAATGTTCAAGCATAGGAGCCGAAATCAATTTGTCTTTGATAACTTCGAGGACTTCATGAACTGGAGTCTCGCTATCAGATGTCAGCGTAAAGCGCTTCCAACGCTTGACGTGGGGAATTGCCTTCTGTAGTAGCTCAAGAAGATCTTCGGACTCTCCCAACGCGCCTCTGAACCAAAACCATAATTCAAGGCCTACAGATGCAGACCTTTCCAAATATGCGTCAAACCGTTCAAAAGGGACGGATGGCGAACGCAATATGTCATAGCGGAAGCTGGCCCACAGTTGATGATACGAAAGTGCAACGGATCTCCAGTGGTGGCACACATGGGAAACGACGATCTCGGCCAATGGAAGAATCTTGGCTTTCGGATCTGTTGGGTCGGGGGATCTGCTGCAAAAAGCTAACACGTAGTCGAATATCATGCAGGTGACTTCGTTTGGGAGATTTAATACGGGTATATTTCGATTGCAAATGGCGCCGTATTTAGATTGAATTGACGTGATTTTGCGTTCGGTATCCAAGAGCTCCATTATTAGCTCGTTGCGTCTCGCTTCAAATTTGCTCTTTTCTTGTAGAAGCCTAGCCGTTTCCGAATCAGAGTCTTTGGAGGACTTAGAGACTTTGTACTTTTTCGTCATCGCTGCAGATAACCGTGATAGGAATGAGAGAAGAGATGGTGGTTGAGGACAAAAGGACGGTGCCACACAAGTGCCACAGATTGCGACAAAAAGACTTTACGATCCTGCTGTGACGGTATGTAACGGTAACCGTAACATGACTGCCGAGCTGCCGAAAGGAGAAAGGTGCTTGGCACCTTTACTTAGCGCTTATCTAATATCTTGGCTCTTAACACACCGATCGGCTTGATGACAACAAATAGATTGGGCGGTAAACCCTAAATTTACCTTGACTTCAATTAGAGGTTATTTGCAAATTCTGTTCAAACGAAAAAGTGGAGCCTACCGAGTCTCTATTCTCTTCAAGTTTCAAGGTGTAAATTATTCTGTGTACTGCTGATATACAGGAGCAACAGCTTCGAAAAAAGAATAACGGTCCGCATTAATGGGGTAGTGGTAACCTGGGTCGTTGCCATGTAGCGTCGACGCGTCTTGTCGTCTCGACCCGCCGGGGGTTCGATTCCCACTTAATGCACTGTTTCCAGTTCCTCCATAGAGCGGGTTGAACTTAGTGGTCAAGCTTCCAGCCAAATCACATTTATTTTCTGGCTGATCGGAACCAATTTCCGGTCATTTTTTTCTTTTAGTGGAGTTTTTGTCAAATGGATGGAATCGATAGGCGGACCCGATCGGGGACAGTATATGTAAATGTACTTTAAGTTTTCGCAGGACAAATTCACAGAGGAATGCGAACTGAAGAACTAACTATGGGCGTAAGGATCGAAGTAAATGGTTCCTCTGTACCCGCGCCCTACCTGGCACGAGAAACGAGCAAAGGAATATTCGCACCAGCTCGACCTCTAACCTTGGGTCTAGCCACCAAGGAATAATGCAGGTCGATGAGCGTCTCTCGCCCTTCAGGCAGATCAAATGAAAATTCGTGAAGTAAAATGGCAAGGACAATCTTTAGGTATATTAGCTGAAGCTGGAAGCTGACAACGGTCCAAGTCCAAGTAAGCGTTGACGTACCTTCAATTGTGTCATTGCAAATGCCTTGCCAACGCATACCCTTGGGCCCTCTCCGAATGTCCACAAGCGCCCTTTAGCTGAGGCAGAACTGTCATCCACTGACTTTTCGAGCTTCATAAGGGGGTCGTTAAGCCATCTGTCGGGATTGAATACAGCGGCGTCAGGGCCCCAGATTTCAGGATCCACATTTAAGAAATGGTTCGGTACTATCACTTTCGTTCCCTTGGGCAGGTATATCTTCTCAGTCAATCGTCCAGAGGCGTCCTTTATTGGTTCTTTGAGCAGAAGTATGTCATCTTCATTAGTCTATCACAGAGTTTTAGTAGTTTATCAATGAAATGCTTTGTGCGTTGACGTACTACGCGGGGAGTTTCGCCGACAGATGGTCGCAATCTCAGGACTTCCGAGATGAATGCGTCAAGGAAAGGACAAGATGATTGGAGACGATTCCAATCCAACTCTACTCCGTGGGATGAATTAATTTCTGCTCGGATTCGAGCCTGAATTTCTGGATGCCTCGCGAGCTCGATTAGAGACCACTGGATATCACGTTCACGTCAATCCGCAACTTTCACGGAGTAATACATACCACAATAATTACTGTCAGATGAAGGTCAAGCATTGGTTAGTTTCATCAAAATGTGAAGCAAAACGATCACTGACGCCCCGGCGGGTCAGACCCTGCTATGAGAATAGCCTTCATCTTCACCAAGGTCAACGCTTGCGAGCAGCAGAAGTGAGTATATATTACCTGAGTCACAATCTCTTCCTTGCGTTCAGCCGACAATAGACCAGAACTGTTAGTCTCTGCATCGACTAGCGGAAATCCATGTCAGCTTTCCTTTCCGTGGAACAAGAGGAAATCTTTCACTAAGAAACTCAATTAGTGACTTCTCGCTCTTTTGTCCCTTCTCCACTCTAACCGAATTGTCTTTCTCTCTCTCCTTCTCGTGTAACATTCCATCCAAAATTAAACGCGCCGAGTCGGATAAATTTTTGAATAACCGATTTCTTTTCGTTGGCAAGTTTCCTACCCAAGGGACAAAAATCGAAGCAACATAAGCAAGCATTCCAAGCTTCGAAGGGGTCGTAGTATTGAAAATGCGAAGTGCTTCTTCTATGGTGAAGTTATTTCCTTCCAGAGTATGGAAGTCATGGCCGAAAATAGCTCGGCCTACGGTGTCCAACCTAACTAGAGCGTAAGGCAAACAAACTTTGGCGGGGAAGCATCTCTCACGTCAATTTCATTGTCCTTTATTATTAAAGGTGAGACCTTCAATGGAATAGAGCAAGGAGTCATGATGAAAATAACTACCATTCATGCATTTCGATTTCAACTTGAACTCCTGCCGCGCTTGAGTCCAGAAGCTTGTCCCATTCTGATTTTAGCTGAAGATAGCCCATGAGTTTTGTTCGCTTATTAAAGCACCCAAATCGGCATCACCTACCCTATATGCGGTATCATAGAATAACGGAGTCATATTCCTAATGGATCCAAGGCTAAACGCCGGATTTAATACCTTCCTTTGCCTGTTCAAAATTATTAATTAGTACCTTTCAAACAACTGGGACTTGCATTACCTTTTATGATCTTCACCTTCGACCCACAAAACGCCTCTCCCGATAACCCTCTCAATGACGACCCGCAACCCAGGAGTCTTGACATACGTAAATGTATCTTTCCCAAAAATATGTGCGACGGCTTTCAGATCAGTCACCACGACTGCTTCTGAGCCAAAGGGCAGCGCAACACGATACACGGACCCGTACTCCTTCACCCACGCACCATACACCGCTTTAGGATTGGGCGAGAGGCGTATGAGGCGCGTTACGCCGAATATTGGAGACGTGAGTGGTGGACCACGAAGTGAGTTAGGGCGAGTTTGGAGGGTTTAAACGGGTTAAAGAGTTGTAAAGTATGAGGAGGACAAGGATGAGGATGGCTGAGCCAGCGCTTGCAACAAAGGCAAAGGGGATCATGGCGATATCATACCATATCTCTACGGATTATCGTTTATGAACTGGTATTTCAACAGTTGTCATTTCGAAAACGTACCACAACTTTATGTTTGGTGATTCCATGTACATTTTTCCGGCTTTGGCGTACTCAGCGGAGGCGCTTGTAAGAATGGATTTTCTGAGACGGTCTAGTCCACCACAATCGCAGGAGTGCCGTAAATGGACGGGTCATTTGTTTTCCCTATCGTCAGTCTTTTTCAGGAATCGTCAGTACATGTTCTAGCAGTTCTATCTTTGCGATCAAGGCACGTCGGAAATACCTCGCGGGACTTTCGTAAAAGGGAATATAGATGCTCTGCAACCTTGGGGTGGAATGATCAATCCACACAGAGAAAAAAATCCAAGGCACCTTACATTGGCTAAAATCGTGGATATTGCTGACCTTGTCGTCTGCCGTTTTATTGTCAAATGGCCTCACTTCGACGACACTCTGCACAATATCAGCATGACTGTAATTGTGATGACGTTAGAAATAATTTACAAGTATATGAGCTGTAGAAAATAACGCGAATCAGGACATCGTATAACAAGCAGAATATAATCAGGGCCTCCATAGAGCTTTACCAGCCCTCAATAAATTCCCTTTATCGTCAAATTCGACACCCTCTTCCGAAAGGATCGCAACTTTGTCGTTGTACCGGAGCCCGGTCTTGTGATTTTTTCCCCATTCCCCGAAAAAGCCGCCTATGAATAGACTTGACGCTATGACTCGATGGCAGGGGACATAGGGACTGAAAGGATTATTTCGCAGTGCGTTCCCAACTGGGATATGGGTAACGGTAAGGATAGGGCCAGAAAACAGCCAGAATCAGGACCGACCAGAACGAGGCGAACCACCAATAGCGGAGGCGACTTCCTTGTATGTCGTTACTTTACCCATCGGAATAGTCCTGGCAAAGTCATACACAGCCCATTGATGAGGTGTTAATTTCTGGAGAAGAATGAATGCGATTGCTTTGGGATGTGGTAGTTCACATACCCTGCCGTCCTTAGCCCTGTACATCCGACGTTCTTCAGCAGTCGCAGGATAATATATGACAGAGTCTTCGGAAAAAAAATGTTCCTCGCAGGCAAGGTCGTCGTCCCCCGTCTCATGTGGCATTGTGTCTTGGTCGCCGTCGTGCGGACTTTCTTGATTTGAGGCGACGTTGGGGAAGAATCTTGAGTTCACACCAGTCACCTTGCGGATCGTGTTATTTGAAATAGATGAGGAAGTTATTCTATTGATATTGGTCCGATGAACAGGCATTACACGGGACAAGCGATTGAGATTTGTATGAACGTCGTAGTTCGAGTCGAAGGTTGTCGTGACGGAAGCGCGTCGCGAAAACAAACATACAGTGGCACGTGAATAACTTTAGGGCAGGTCAACTCGTGACTGACGTACCGCACATTGTTCCGTCAAGCTCCATCTTCCATAACGGCTGTTGGCGAATGGCAGGTTACCGGCAGTCCTGTCATAGAGGTACGTCCTTTATTGTTCTAAAGGCTAATTCTACATTTTAGCTTTGTACTTTAGATGAACCCCGTCATTCTTAGCTATCCAGTCACTTTGCAAGTGAGAACAAATTCGAGAACTTCTGAAGTGGTGAGTCCTTACTTTATGGAAGCCTAAAGGCTTATCAATGTTTTGGTATCAATGGCTTATCAGAAATTTACATCTATATAAGGACCCTTAAAATCTGCGTTTCTATATAATCCCCAACCTGTGGACAAAGGACAGAAATGCAAGTGGAATCCCATATCCTCTCTCCCTCTCCAGAATACCCACTTTATATAGCGGCAAAGCGATATTGGCTTCCTGAATTCGAGCAAAATATCTCCAATCCGTCTGCACAAACTCTTGTAATCCTCCATTCGACCAGCTTCCACAAGGAGACATGGGAGCCTGCTTTAGCTGACCTGTTTGACCTAGTGGCCGCATCCAAGTCTGGATATAGAAGCAAGGTCCCGATTCGCGAAGCATGGATGATTGACTGTCCCAATCACGGCGAGTCGGGAGCTCTGAACCACCGACTTCTAAAGCAGCCTCAATTTGCCAATTGTCAGTATTTTTCCCCTTTTAGTTTCTCTTTCGCATCTTTCCTGATTGCGTTGCGTTTCCTTCCTCTTTGGTCATACACTTGAAAGCTGATATACTTGTATTCATAGTCTCTTGCGAGAAATATGCCCAAGCCGCGCACAGATTCCTTGCAGTTGGTACGGATGAGCCACAAGGAGCTGGGGTTGACTTCCAGAAGCGGAATTTAATTGGGATAGGACATTCCCTCGGAGGAAATGCAATGTACGTACTCTCGTCGACCTCCTTGGGATGCAGCGCTTGACAGAAATATAATATAGGCTGATCCTGCAACTCATCCAACCTGTCTTCGGGTTCTCCAACTTCATCATTATCGAACCTCTGGTCAGTCCTCAAGGCAATATGCAACTCAGAGGCCTTCGCCAGCAACTGGTAGAGAGGGCCCAGAAACGAAGAGACGTCTGGTG